CACGCTTTTCCCATATCCCATTTTTATGGTGGAATTGTCGATGAAACAAAGTCGCAATTACTATTACAATCGACCAAATTACTTATTTTCGTTTGTAAGTAGTTTTCGAGACGAAAGGAAAAAACGAGTACTTTCTTCATAGCCTCCTCACCTGCCGGATCACCAAAAATATCTGGTTCTTCTTTGTGATCCTCTGCCTTTTCTCCTCCCTTCGTGCACGATGAATGTGAAGGAACCCAGCCCTCCGGGACTCAGCATGAGAAGAGCAACCGAAACGGCTGGAGACCGGCGTGAACTGAAAGACCATGGCACGTGTTAATGGACTCCAATCACGGAATAGTTTCTCTATTCTGCTGTTCAATTTGATCGTTCGAGCTCTGGACGTCTCGGTTACTGAGTCGACGATCCGTCGCATTCGCGTTCGCGGGTCGTACTCCGTTCTGTTGTCCAGACTTTGATGGTCGTCTTGGCTCCACCAGACGTCGTTTATACACTTACCACCCCTCCAGCCTCGAACATGCTCCATCTTTTCTATGGCCAGTGCCGAGTGAATCACGGACAAGTCGAGACGGAGACTCAGACGAGCTGTGACTCGTTCACCGGGCACCAAATGGCCCCTGCTCAGGCTGAGTCGACAGGCACAAGCAGAGCCTGTGACGCAATCACGACTCACCATCGGTTGACAACGCGCCAGCAGGCGTCTGGCGAAAACTGTGGCTCCAGCTCGAGTTGCCATGGGCCATCTGTGTGGCTCGAACAGCGGCTGCTGCGTCGTCAACTCCTCGTCGGAGCAGACGGTGTCATCGGCCTCGTAGTCTCGCAGTTCGTCCGGTCTGGTCTGACGGGCCGATCGAGGCCGGCCGTTGGAACCGCTCAAAAGACGGTCGTGGAGGCCGGCTGGTCCTGGCTTCTCGAAGGTTCGTGAAGAAGATGATCTCTCATCCGATTCGTATGCTGAACCTCGCACAGACTGCCGCTCATCCTCCTCACTCAATCGCTTTGGCCGGCGCACAAATCTCGAGCCCCTCTGCCTTGGAGTCGATCGTGAAGATACATTTTTCTGCTCAACCATCACTCGTTCCCTCTCGAGTGGGCCTGCAAGGCCGATCCTTCCGTGTTCGGCTCTGGGCCAATCAGCCTCCACGGATCTGGAGCTCAAGCCCAGCACCTTTTGCTCCAGACGGGACTCAAGTGAGCCATAGCAACGAGGCTTTACGACGCCTGATTCTGGTGGACACCTTTTGGCTCGGATGGCTGCTGGCAGGAGCCGGTTAAGAGAACCGAGATAGTGACAGTCGCGTTTGATTGTTGGACAAGTTAGCGCCTCAGGAAGAGACTGGATAAAGAAATAAAGAGAACAAACCAAGAGACTGGATAACAAATAAGTAAATATCAACTGAAGATGCATTTTCGTTTAAAGGCAGGTCTTCGAGACTGCCAGTAAAGCATAGATATATAAATAGATAAGCAGATAGATAGATATGATTTGTTTTATCCTAGTTTCTCTAGGGTGATGAGGGACTGGTAGTTGAATTTTCCCACAATGATACGAACAAGTTTTATATTTTCATTACATTTCACATAGCCCTGCTCATTCAAAAGTATCCTCCTCCAAGCTGATGAGGCTGCAATATCAACCTCGTCTTGGTCTCATCAGCACCCTCAGCGGGTCTCGAACCAGAGTAGTGTATTGTTAAGTTTCATCACTACCCTCCTACAAGTGCCCCTGCGTCAGACGGCAGGCACAACTCGCCTTCGTCAACAACCCCAACACAGAGCTGTGGTGTAGGAGAGGACTGGGCTGCCTGTAATGTCCCTTCTACCGCATGACAAAGGGTCGAGACTGTATGCAGCACTCCCACAATCCGGGTTCGAGTCCGGCTAGGGGTGCAGCTGAGAGCTGGGCAGAGTAGAAACTGCAGTCCATTTCAATCTAAAGGATTATATCTGCTGAGAAGCAATGTGATGCGAAATTGAATTGAAAGATAAGATCTACTCAAGTGATCGTAGCAAAAACTTTCATTACCTTAAACAAGATAGAATGAATTTGTCTAACATAGAAGATGTGTTATTTGCCAAACGGCGATTCATTTCTCTTTCTTCTTACATCTTCAACACAGCCCATCTTCAAGTGATAATAACCCCCAGAAAAGAAGAAAGCATTATTTTATTTGTTGTTTCCTTGTTTCCAGTGTTTGTTTGAGTGGATTCCAATAAAGTAGGTGATGAGGGCTTATTAATGAATTCTCCCACAATCAGATAAGTAGGCATAGCTCTGTCATTCAATTTGGCATCCCCTTGCTGCTCGAAAGGATTGCAGTTTCGACTTCGTCTGAACTGGTCTCATTCACACTATCGGCGGGAGTCGGACCCTGGTTTTGGTAGCACAGTGCATAATCTCGACATGTTACCACAACGCCGGACATGAATTCCAAGGAAAGCCAGGTCCTTCCCATATCGTACTTATAGTGAGGTTAACTTATATTCTGACATTATAATGGAACTTAGCTACCTAAATTCATATTAAGTAGATTTTCGAGACTATCGGTAAATCTTGCATAAGACTTCTAGTCACCCATGATCGCATAAGGTGATGAAGGGCTGATAGTTGCATTTTCCCATAGTGATGTGGGTGATCCATACTTTTACATCGAATTCCACATATACGCTATACTGTAGGCGAGTTCGATTCCTGCTGGAGATTTTGCTGAGAACTCAGTCTAATCCATTCGAGAGAAAAGTATCTTTTTGGAAAACAAGACTTCATGATAATAAGTGGTAACATGATGCTAACTAATGTTATCGTGGAAAAAGATTAAATACCTCTCCATTTCATTATACGACTTGGCTGACTAGAACCTTCTGTTCTATCGGCCTACTCTAAGACCAGATTGGAAGACTAAGATAGGTTGGTCTATAATTTGTTGGTAGTCTTGTTTTGCTGCATAGAAGTAGTTTGTCCTATTTTTAAAAATCTTGTTCGTATTGTCAATATTACCAAAATGAACACATCTTGCCCGAAGTTCTATGCCATAATCGTGATAATTTCCAGTACATTTTCAGACGTTTCACTGTCATCGTAGTCTTACCATTCTTATCCCCAAAAACCAGCTTTCCAACGAGACTGGTTGCATTTGATGGTTGAGCTGTATGCAGCAGGACGTTGAAGTTCACTACCAAAAGGCCTTATTTTGGGTATCACCAGCCGCAGCGACGAAATCTGAGGCTTGCTCGTGCAGCCTATACCGAACCGCACAGCCCGAGTGTCAATGGTCCAAGAATATGTACAACTTTCCAGATAAGCCGGGATCTTCACAGTTCACATGTTGCATAAGGCAAACTAATATTTCTCATTCCATTCATCGTTTTTACCATGCCTACGATGAGACGGGCTGGGAGGTTAAAATGTCAGTGTAACTAAAATTTAAAAACATTTTGGAAGACTAGGCCAAATGAAATACAGTAACCTTGCTATGCAAATGTAGCTCTTTTAAAAAGACATTAATAAGCAATCCTAGTAGTACTACCTAAATATTTATGCAAGATTCATATATATATATATATATATATATATCAAATGATGTATATAATGTATATGGCAAGTATAATATAATTCTTGAATAAGAGTTTAGTTAACCCATGTCTATTTATCCGATTATGGAAAAAATAATCTATTAGTTCTTAAGTCACCTTGGGCAACCTATGGTGACCAAGCTCTTGCTCAAGAATTACGAATCGTCTCAAAAAATACTTGCATTAAAAATAAGCTATAATTTCTGCTGAAATTTTTCAAGTAGGGGCTAGATCCTTTTGTGGAAGAGTGCTCAAATGAAGATTCTTTGAGAGAAATATGCCCGGGCACATAACACGTGCAAGAGTTCAACATTCCTGTTTAGCTTAACTCATTCGAAGACGGTTAAGTCTCAGAGCTGAAAGCATTTGGAGCCAGGCCAACTGCTACAGCAAGATAGGCTCGAATGCAATCACACTCTCTGTTCCAAACTGGACATAACATAACAAACGCCCATCTAGTTAATATAGGGAATCACGACTACACAACATCTCTTAGTGATGCAGGTTACATATTTGGAAAGCTGTGTTATAAAGAAAAACATGTTATGATTAACTTACAGATTAGGCAAGCTCTCAACTCTGTAGATCAAAAAGACTATTTGATAGTCCAACTCTGTGGTTTTGTGATGCCATAATGTTGGTACTGCTGTAATAAGCAATTTTAGCCGTCTCGGGTAAGTAAGCAATCTACATATCTCGAAACCCCACTCAAAACGAAAAATAATTTGCATGCTAATGGGAAGAATTACTTCCAAATGATAAACGATGCTGAAATGCAATACTCTTTGGCGATAGTTTAGCAACACCAATCCGGCAAAGAGTGCACTCCGTAGTGTTAAGTGGCCCAGTGAAGACTATATGACAGAAGTAGCAACAGCTTGGCAAAGTAGGGGAGCATCGCGAAATTGTACATGCCACTTACTTCATAAGCATCCAAATCCAACTCTCTCAGTACCGTTATGCCTTTCGCATGAGTGATGAGAGTGCCGTTTGTCATTTTTAGAGAAACATTGAGTCGATACTCAATGCTACCACGAGCAGCTGTAAAACTGCATGGGCAGTTGCTTGAGAGCAAGAAAGAGAAGGGAAAAGCATGTTGTCCAGGCCCAAGTAGTTCACAGCTGATTAATGACTCTAAAAGAGAATAAATGTAAAAAAGAATAAAGTCTACGTTGGGACAGATTGCGATAAATGCGCGTCCAAATGACGCATAATAAATTGACACTAAGTCGCTTGTTATAACTTCACTTGGTAATATTCATAATTACAGGCCAGCGCAGCATTTGATTCAGGTATCTTTCGACCGTTACCCTTTATGCACATGTGATGCTCATCACACATTCACTTTTATATGCAAGGTAAAGTAGTTAAAAATTATAAAAAATAACCTCAGGTATGATGAACAAAGGGTGAAAAAAGAAAATAATGGCCATTACACTAGAACACAAATGCACAAACGTGGTGATATCAATTCTAAAATTGGCAGAGATGTTGTAATGCATGAATCAAAGGTACGGAATATATATTTTAAAATGCGCAGATGAAACAAAGGAAAAAGTAAAAATGGCATACACAGGATATAATGATGGATTCATGTGGGAATGCAAAAGTGACATTTTTAGCAGCCAGCACGACATCTCATGAGCCATGGAACAATCGCAATATTTAAAGTATACTACACAAGATGAAAGTTCGCACAGGCTATTTCTCAATCTGCAGGTGAAGATGCCTTCTTTGCT